GGTTTATTGGCTTGAAGCCGCGTGAATCGGCCATCGTTTGAGCTACACGCCAGGACACAGACACAGAGAGAAGAATTTATACAACATCGACATCATCCTCCCCTTCAACGTCTTCCTCGGCTGTGTTGACTAAAGACCACCCGATGCTGCATATCCGAGGAATACTAAGAGCAACGAGCGATAAATTTCTTTTTTGTTTTGTCGTTTTCTTGTTTCGTTGGTTTCGTTATTTCGTGTGTTTTTGCGTTACATTATGATGATTCTAAATCGATTGATAAGCTTCGTCTAGACTTTGCACAGCAGCGATTTTGCGGTGAGCTTAACGTGTTATAGTTCCGTCTTTTTTTTTTCCTAAATAAATATCTTTGCGATCGCTTTTTATCGTAATTGTATCGTGATTGCGATATCGTGAAAGCAGCCTTTGATCTTTCTTTGCTTGGTTTTTACTACGTGGCACGCCACGTTAGAAGCGTGGATACAAATGCGCAAGTGGTAATGTCATTCAGCCACGCAGGAAGCGGATTCGATAAAATTACACAACTGCAAAGAAGGAAGGGAGCTAAAAGAACGTCTGACCACGAATTAAAAAAAAAGACGACGATGAACGCGTGTACGCGTGATTCCACGTTACCGTGTTTCCTGATGATTCGGCTTGACGTGCAGTCAAACCGTACAAGTCCATAACTGTTTCATTGCAAATTAATCAGAACGATTCTCGCGTCAATTCGTTGAAAGTCTGACAGCAGCCAGAACGAGGAAGCACGATGATTAATTCACGCAAAGTTGCTCACGGTTTGTTAGAAACGTACATAATGCCAAGCCCGAGCAACTTTCCTGCTCGCTGACAGCGAATATTACCGCGAAAGTGCAGCCGTTTAAAGAGAAATAGAGAAACGTTAATGGGGAATAGGGAAAATTGACCGCTACTTTCGCCATTCGATCAAAACGAAGTCCCGCTCTGGAGCGTTACATGGCCGAACGACGTGAAACGTGAAATTTCGAAGAAATTTCAACACAACTTTCGAACGATCGATTAGAGCGAAACGAAGCTTATGAATTTTCATTCCAGCCGATGCGCACGTGAAATTGGAAACGATGAGCCAGTTGCTGCAAGATCGTGCTGCAGTAATTAAGCCGAGCTTCCTGCATGCATCGCACTGGCTCGTCTTACGACGACAATTAAAGTACCACGGTAACGAGCATTATTAATATCGTTTACCGTCGTTAAATATATTCCAGGTCTCGTCCGATGCGAGATACCACAACCGAAACGACATAGATTCCTTCCATTCTTCCGAATAATAGCGTTCGACCATGCTTCGCGAAAATCGCACGTTGGAAAGATATCACGGCCAAAATACGGATCGAACGACGTTCGAATCTTGGCGATAACGATTGTTTTCGTTAATCGTTCGAAAATCGTACTTATCGTTTCGAGTATCGAGAATCATTCTGTGTAATTCGTTTCGCATAATTTATAAAATACGAAGGTAAAAATAATAGATGTAAATAAGTATGAGGGGGAGAGTCGAGTCGCCGATGAAGTCGTGCGCTGCACTTCGAAGCGTTTAGTGATACAGAAATTCTAGAAGCGAAGGAAATTGCACATAGCCGCACGACAGGTATGCAACATCCTTATATTCTGGCTTGGTGCAACCGATTACGGAATCATTGAATCGCATCTCGCCTCGATCAATTAACACCGTAATCTCACAACGGGTAATCTCGTAATCTCGAGAAGTAGGAGTAATAGGTTATACTCGGTAATTACGAAACAATTAGCTGGCTATGAAATATTACTGCCGATAAATTGGCAAGCGCTTACGTGCACGAACTATGAACAATGATGTGTATTTATTCTCTTTTATTCTTTTTTCTTTTTATTTTTCATTTTCCTGTTAACATTCTCGACTCACCTTAGACAATTCGCAAGCCATCGTGCTCGACGATGATATTATCACGCCACGACGTTTCTCGTGTCTCGATTTCGAGTCGCGAGACCACTCGCCACTCGGGATTCCTGCAATTTGGCAGAGACAATCGCCGTTTCTCTAACAGGTCGATTAACGTCTCGACCACGTGATCAAAGAAAGGTAGAAGAGGTAAAACGCGAACGATACGGACGTAAACGTAGCAATCAGTGGAATTTCCACCGCGGTACGATCACTGACGTATCGCGAGTACCGAAGAGCCACGTCCTTCCTCTGATCGTGAATTGTTTTCGACTCACTATAAGACGGCGGTATACACTAAGTGAACCTGTGAAAACAAAGAAAACAGATGTAGTGGTATCGGCAATCATTTTTAGACGATAAAATGTAATCGTGTTTTGCTCCGGACAATAGAGGATCGTTAACTACGAACGCTACTGTTACATCAACTAAGCGGAAAGAATGAAAATTCTAATGGAACAACACAATGAATGTAAATTCTATGCACTCGATCGGTTCGTGTATTATTCATGCGGCATTGTAACAAAGATCATTTTTAATACAATTACAAAGAATCGTACAGACGCAAAGAGTGACTGGAAAAATCAAAGTAAGATGAAAAACGATCCTCTAATTGTTCCGAGCAATATATAAAATATCTAAGATTCTACGAAGATAATATCTATAACAAAATCCGTCGTAAAAGGAGAACTATACGATAGATCGACGAGGACGAGTTCGAATCGAATTCGAGCTTGGAATATCGTATTCCAGCGAAACGTAAGCATCCTCGGCTGTACGTTCTAAAGATATATCGTTATCTACCGTCAAACGCGTAACAAATAGCGTTTAATTCACGGTTATGCATCAAACTATTTTCCGATAAAATTGCGTAATATTCTTCTTTGCCTGACCGATCTCAAGGAAAATCATCTTGCAGTTCTGTCGGCTCTAAGGCGAAAAAAAACCAAAGAAACAAATAACAGAGAAAAAGAAATGAAAAACATGGTGAATCGAGGGAAAGAATAAGAAGAAGAAGCATTCAGTTGACGATAATTATTCCCCCTTTGATCGACCACGGTTTTTGTAGCGTCCATTCGTCGCTGGTATACGAATGAAAAGAATGCGAGTGGTGAAATTGCCTGAATGCCAGGGAAAGGATGGCACGCTTGTTGTAGAAACCGTGAATGCGTCTCCGCACAAAGGCGGTCGTAAACACGGCCGAGTAATGTATAATTACAGACTGCAAGTGTAATTTCCAATATGACCTTGCTTGGCGACTCGGAGCACCGAGTCGGAATTCTCACGGCACGTCGTCCTAGAACTCGGACGTACCGAGACGATGTGTAAAATCGACTCGACATAAATTCGTGTAATGGACACGCGTGGAATGCGTTTGATAGCCGGTGAACGGAATAGCAGTGATTCTTCCTCGGTGGCGTTCTGACTAGCCATAACGTCGAACGCGCGTTTAAATTGCCTCTATGCGATAACGACATAATTCCGCTTGCTAATTGGCAAAGTTTCTCTCTTCCGATAATGAAATTAAACGAGCAAGGTAAACGAATAAAGTAAAAATAATTGATTTCGTCGTTTCGTGTAAAGATATCAAAGCGTTATAATTATAGTTTGGCACGAGTTTCGTTCGATCGACTTATATTGATTTCTATGGAAACAACCAACACGGATCTATGTATATTTATTATGGGTCGATACATCAACGATATATAAATAACTCGATGAACGTAAACAAAGTAACGGAATAATTAAAAGATAAATCAGGGACACGTTTGATTTTTCATTCGTCCAGGATCGATGTCTATACGTATGTAGGTACAGTCATTCTCGTTAATATTCAGACGCTCTTTAAAAACAGGAAAACTTCTTAAAAATGGATGAAACGATTTGAGCTCTTTTTCAAATGTTAGAGGAATTGGTTTACTAGTCAACGCGCCAACAACAAATTTTCAACGCATCGCGATTGGTCAGAATTGCGAAAAATATAGTAAAATTCACTTTTTTCCAAATTTCTTATACAAGCCTGTAACGACGATTCGAATAATACGTTTTGTAGATTTATAACAGTTATATATATGCTCAGAATCGGTTAACGTTGCTACGACCTAGACGACGTTAAAATTGACGAAATCACAGTTTCTCACAACTTTCCTCTAATTGTAATAAATCTTAAGATTCTTACATCTTTCGATGCCTTTTATGACAGTTTTTGCTTCGATCGATTTCAATAAAACTTTCGACATGTTTATGACCGATGAGCCTGTAAATCTACAAAACGTATTGTTTAAATTCTCACTACATTCTCATTATTGAGATAAAAAATTGTAAAAAGTAACTTTTACTATTCTTCTCGCGACTCCTACCAATCGTAGTTTCTCCAACATTTTTTTTAGATAACTAATTTGGTAAACTAATTCTAACTTCTCAAAGAAGCTCAACTCGTTTGATCAAACTTTAAAAAAGTCACTCTGTTTTAGAGAGTATCCGAATATCAACGACAACAATAGCTAATATACAGTAAAATTTAAATAAACGACCCTAAATGAAAGATCACTGAAATCCTTTAACTTTCTCTTTCCGTGTATATATACCGACCCAGGCTCTGTCAAAATCTATGGCCTTTCGAACGATGTGCAACGATCTCGATGCTATCGTACTTTCAGTATGTAACATTCGATCGCTCACCTTGTATCAAAAATCTCGACTGTATCTAGTTCCTCGATGACGTTGAAATCGGTAACGTTCACCAGCATTCTCGTCACAAAACTCGACGTTCTTGAAATATTTTCAAGTAACACAAGGGCAAACCGAACAGATACCGCTTTATGTAACGACGAGCGAACGGAAAGGAACGACAGTACTAGTCGACGAGTCGCGTACTACTAACGCGTACGTTCTGTGTATCGCGTCGAAGATTAAACGAAATCCAAAGACTTTCTCCCCTCCTCTGCCGCTTGTTTCTCCGTCAGATCGCTTTCGTTCGCCGTCCTTGTTCCGTCTGTCGAGGGAATCCATCCGTCATTGTTCACAGTCTGTTACGTGTCTGTCTTGTTGTCCAGTTTTTCAACGAGTTTTATAACCAGTTCCTTGTGTACTTCTGTGCTCCGCCGTACCTTAGCTGTCCGCATCTACTGTGAAAGATTAAACACCAGCGACACCGAGATACGGAACGCGCGTGAATCTTTCTTTCTCTCTTTTCTTTTCCCAACTTCTTTTTAACTGTAATGTTTGTCGCCAGAGATCGATAGATCTTCGTTCAACGAAGAAATATCGAGTTCGCGGAGTTTGTCGCGTTTCCTAGTTCCTTCGAGATGGTTGTTTCTCTCGTGTTTGTATGCACGTGTTGCAAAAAGTTCGATGCGAAATGGAGAATGATGTCGTTCGACATTTTTCACCGTCCAACGAAACGCGAAATTTATCGGTAGTAAAAGTAACGTATCGCGAGTCATACCGGACCGTCTATGAAATTACGTAAATTTATTGCTACCCAATAACAACGCGATCTCGTTCGCTATCGTGGGGATAGTACGGTAATTTCTTTATCTATTTTTTCAGGTGTGTTCTGAACACGCTTTTAAAATCCAAAAGTAAATAACTACAAAATGAATCTAACAATAGGAATGTGGAAAATATTATCATTATTATCGACAGGTGTTATTAATACGTCTTTATTACACTGTAGCAGTTATATAAAGAATGTAACCTTCTATAACTTCGTGTACCTTGGAACATGAACATATTTCTATTATCTATATGCTTTAAATCTTGTTTTATTATCGCTTTATTATTGTACTTTATATATTGCATAATTATGAAAATCAAAGCAGAAAACTGCGGTCGACTACACAATATTCCTATTTCTCGTGACCAAAGAAAATTCCAGCCATATAGAAAATTAATAAAAGTATATCAACGTAGATGCATTATTAGTCACGAAAACATGAAAATACATACGAACAACGAACAAGTACTTGCGAAAGTAGCTTACAAAATTTAGAATAGCGAACAAACGACGAATAATGAAACTTCCTTAATCGAAATCTTTGATACGATCGTACCAGAAAATAAATACAAGATTCTACAACCACTCTGAACGAAAGTAACGCAATTCTAATAAATTTATCGCGTTCCGCGGTTCTACCAGAGAAAACTAGGAAAGCAGTACTGACGGCGAAATTTCCACTCGCGACTGCTCGCAGCGTAATAACGCGGCGTTATATATCTAAAAAGCATATAACCGGCTGAAAGTTGCGTTAAAATTTCCAAATAAGGTTTGTTGTTAAACGGTTTCAACGAGTAACAGGTGCACAACCTACATTCGCGGTATTTACGCTGCGTTGGCCTCCAGAAATCTCTGTTGGAAAATGACACATAGCGGATTATGCGAGATGATGTTTACGATCTCGTAACTCTGTAACATCAATCTCGTCGAATAAAAAAGAATTCCATGCTTCTCTCAGCGTTGTTCGACGATATCGATTTTAAGGGCGAGATCGAGTCGAGATTGATAGGAAATACTGGAACCGATCCTACGAAAACTCTCGGTTATCTGCCGATATCTAACGTTCACGATGACACACATACTTACGTCTCTGGATGCTTGTGATTTAAATGGATCAATGAGATGCGCTTGGCGAAACGGCAGGAGCCAAGCTTTTCTCATTTCTGCACCATAGACGTTGGCATTGCGACGAAGACGACGCGAGGGTGCATTTAGGATTGGCGCATCGCCAACAGGTCCTTCGGGAGATTTGCACTATACGTTATACCTATACGTATGTATCTGTACACGTAATATCGTCATCGTCATATACGTAAATCCGAAAACGTTAAGCCGTTTGTCGAGAGATCAGGTATGCGCATTTCGTTTGATTTCCATCGAACGTATGATGAAAAGGAAAAGGAACGAAATAGTCGGTAGAGCATCTAGTCGCCCGTTAAACCGCACAGCGTGTGGAAATTGCGATTAGCGATAAAAGTGGGAAATAACGAGGCAAGGAAAATCGTCATCAAGCTCGACGGAGATAAGATAGGAATGTTATTTTCGGTTGTAGTGAAACAGGGGATTAGCTGAAAATACGAGAATGGACGGTGGTAGTCGTGGAAATAAAAATTTTTACTTTTAGAAAAAAAAATATACATATATATATATATGCATGTATATTTTATATATATACACAGGTGTAATCGATCAAGCAAACGTGAAAGAGAGAAGTAGGTCACGAACGTACGCTCGTCAAGTTACGCTTCTTCCGTGAATCTTCAACTTCGTTTTAGCAGCAACTTTTCGACTATGGTTGAGAGCGAGATTTATTAATGGACATATCCAACGATGATTAATGTCTGTTTGAAAGTTACGACATTAAGGTATCGTTGTACATATGTACACGTATGTATCGATGAGCAGATAAAACAAACTAATTTACAAGGAAGGAATTTTAGAATTTTATCTTCTCTTGTTCTATTTCGATAACAAATCGCATGACTTAAATCGTCTTAATCCGATATATATTGCGCAAGTCTTAATCGTCTATTGGCGTGTTGCTAAATTAATCGCCGATTGTTAGTTGCGTTTTCTATCTTCGCCACGGTGTTTTCTTCGGCTCGATACAGCTACAAGATGAATTACGCCTTACGTTCTCGAAAGATGGGAACGTTACCTTAAATTAATCAGAAAAGTACACGCGCTTTATCGTATGCGCTTCGTGCACTTAGCGCACTAAAAGCAGTCCGTGTATACTACACGCGCTCGGATATGCATATGTACGTAAGGAATATGCACTTTACCTATGCATGTATCATAACCATGTACACGTATGCACACGTTATGTGTGCTTTTATCGACGAAGAAAGAGCAAAAGATAAATGGTATATTTTGCTATTCTGTCTCGGCCCATTATACATTGTACACTTAAAATTGAAAACATTCGTTATCGTTGAATTTAAAAAGTTTTTTTCCTTTCTTTTTGTAGGTAAGAATGTTCGACATGTCGCGTTAGAATATTTCACCGCGTATTACGTTACCTTAGTTGTACAAAAAGTAACGACAGATCTAAAAACTTGACAGTTTCTTTTTCTTTTACGTGCTTTACTGAATTAAAGAAGTTCTTAGAACGCGGGTTGCTGGATGAAAATTATGCCCTCAATGTCTGTCATGAATCATTACTAATTCACGTAGTACTTAACTTTTTCAGAACAATTTCCATTCAGCGATTCCATGGCGCAACTCCAGACCGATGACGCACGAATGCATAGTTTTGTCGCGGCGTGACACCATCCAATATATCTGTATATATATACATAAAGGTTCGACGAAAGTAGATACAGAAGGAAGAGGTTTTTTATCGGGCGTACAGAGAGTTTAAAAACCTCAACAAGAACGGAAGCGCGATATTGGAATTTACGGCGGTGACGCTCGAAAGACATCGATCTGTCGAATTCGATGAAAGATCCAAGTATCTGTATAAACGAAAGCGAGGAACGGCGATTGGAGAAACGGGTACACGGTCGGTTGAAACTAGCGGCGAAAGGAAGGCATGCCTTACAGTTCCGATCGTTATCTAATAATGAGAAAAGAAGTTAAAACCGATAGGCGAAGGCGTTCTTTTCTACCGATTTCGTGCCACCGCGTAAAACGCTTCCACGGAGGCCCGTATATTTCCAAGTAGCACAATTGCAAACATTGATTCGAACCAGAAACTAGATACGTATGATTATTTGCCCGGCCTGGGAGTATTATAGCTCGCGTGTAGATAACAATACGACAATGGGGCGCAGTTTGCGATCGTGTATACAGAAGAATCGGAGAAAATGTACCTTTACGTTCGCGTCCAAGTGGCCAACGTTCGATTCGTTTTAACAGCCCGACCTGTGGAAGATTTCGTCTTGAAGATAACGTCTCGATGATAGATCCAGTTTCAAAATCACGAGCCACGGTTTGCAGTAACGATTGGAAGAAGAGCGCGGAAGGAACGCGAAGGAAAAAACGAGACGAAGAGATCGCGTTTTTCGGAACGGGCGATCTCGTTCTCGTTAACCTACTTACTTTTATTCACGGCATTCATTCATCCGCTTCGCGCAACGCGTTATACGTATACCCATCTATATACGTGCATATACGTATATAGATATATGCAAGTATGCGCGTATATCACCGGCGGCGCATTCGCGCATTCTATACGGGGTAAAAAAACGCGTTTTATTACATTTCGGCACGCAAATGGCGTTCGAAAGGTAACGGCGCGGTCAGGTGTACGAACGAGATCTCGTCGCGACGCCAGATCTTCGTTAGCTTCGTTCCTAACCAACGATACCTCGTCTCTTATCGCTTTACCTCGGCAACCGGTTAACCCCGAGTTTCCGAGGTATTCGCATCGACGTTAACGGGAAACCTGGGCCCCGAACGTGCGATTGAACGACCGTGAGGCCGCGGCCGTGTAATCGTTTCTAGGAAAATCGATCCTCGCCAATTAACATGGGCGAGGTTGAGACCGTGCCACGAACCAACGAGGAACAGGATATATCCTGTGCCTGTGCGTGGACAGTCGGAGGGCAGGTAAAGGGAGAACATCGTCGTTCACCGCCCAACGACAGTCGATTGCATTCGTACCAACTTTCGACGCTTCTCATCGCGTGAACGTTTCGATCGAACGAGTAATCGGTGAAGGCCAGGTGCTGCTAGAATGTCAGGTAGAGAAAGGGTAGAAATATCGACGACGCTCATCGATAGGGTAGCTCGACTCAGGAACGCGGGTTGTGTTCGTTCCTAGGCCGATCTTGCCGAGCGCCGCGGGTGCCGTCGTCTTGTATTATCGATTGACGGAGGTTATGTGGAGTCGAGTCGCCGGGACACGACGATCGCGTAGAACACAGGACGAGGAATCCTATTCTAACGGCATACGCGAAACGTCGAGAGACAAATAAAATCTTTTATATCGTTCGCGCTTCTTTCCTTTTATCCTTGATCGTCATCCCCTCCCTCCTTCCACCCTTTCGTGTGACGTTCTTCGCCTCTCTCTCTCTCTCTCTCTTTCTCTCTCTCCCCCTCCCCATACTCCTCCTCCTCGCATATACAACACAGCATTCGCACTCTCTTTTTCTCTCCTTGTGCCTCGATTTCTGTCTGCATACTTTATTTCCATATTCCGTCTCACTCTCTCCCTCTTCCGTCTTCCTAGTTCTATCTCACACAAACGTGAATCTATCCGTACGTTCCTCTCCCGTAGGAAAGGACAAGCGCACCGAAGAAAGAAAGGGTGGTTTCGAAGGAGGAAAGGAAGGTCTCGAGCTAAGCTAGCTCGACTCGCGAAAGAAAGGAAAAAATACTGTAGAAAATGGAAACGTTTCGATGGACACTCACCATTTGGGATATGGGGGTGGTTAGACCGTCCGAAGAGTCGCGCTGGAAGCCTGGTTGGCAGCAAGAGCAATCGTGCTCGTGGCGTCAAAAACGACGGTATTGGCAGTGGCGAGACTGGCGATGGTGGATACGGCAGCGTTGACGGTGGCGGTAGCGGTAACGACGGCAGCGATAG